ATACTATGATCAGTTAAACATGATCAGACTAGTGAAAACTCTCGCTGGGAGAATACTACAATACAGCAGAACCTGGACCATTCGTATCCAAGTGGTTCATAACCCATTTAATTTACAGTGGGTTGCCTGGCGAAGGATAAGCTGTTCAGCTGCAGCTTTTACTTCAAAAGGTGCAGCTTCTCCTCTCAGCTGGAGCTCATTAGTGGTCCTGAGCAGCTGATTGGAGAAACAGTGCCCTTTGCAACCAAAGCTGCAGCAAACAGCTGGCGGACCTCATTGGTACTGCACAGCTGTTTATTGCCGCTGCATATCCTCTGGTTAGTTCATAAACCCTCATCTTCACCGGGTGGGTAAGGGACCTAAGTGTGCGAAGTATCCAGGTTCTACTGTACATGCTGGTATACCATGTGTATGAATTTCAGTTATGGTCAGGAAACTGTGGAAGGAGGGGTGATGAGGGACCGGTTACTGAGTGCAACAATTCATATGGATCATTTGGCCTCTGTACAGATCACTGGGGATTTAGCACAAATAGAAGCAGGTCCTTTGGTCCTTTCCACCAATGTGAGTGCACACTTTGGCTTCCTGGAAATGGTGACATTAAAGTGGAGCTCAGAAAGAAGCTCCTTTATAATAAAATGGGAAGGGGACACAAGGGTAGGAGGTGTCTGCATTTTACTGTGGCAGAGGATGATGTGGCCCACGGTGTTTGGCATGAGTTCTTCCTGGGGAACATCTGTGTGACATCCAGCACTGTACTGCAACTGCCCCAAAATGCCTCTGCAAACAAGGTCTTTGGATTTACTCTGCTTAGAGATGATAAATAGTATTTACCATATCTACAAGTTTACACAGCCACTGGTTAGATATCATGGTCAATAGACAGTACTCAGTCATCTGTGAGAACCTCTTTACTTAGGAAAACTGCTTTACAGGTAACTAGGCAGGCACAAATCCAAATGTAAACCTATGCTACTGACTGTTCCTTCCGCTTGGTAAACACTGGGCCTTTCCAATGAGACTGTATATTATTTGTGCAAGAGTTATCAGGACAGGTTGCATTATTACGGTATGATCAACTGAACTGTTATAGAAACTGATAGTTTCTTAAGTAATGGTCTTCAGGGAAGGGAGGAATCTTGAAAAAAAGGGTGGACAAGTAATTTTGGACTAATATTAAAAAAAGATGTTTAACTTTGTGTCTCTAAAATAGTTGCATTAGGGAAGTATCTAAAGGGTTGCCAGGCCAGTTTTCATCATTCATCTCTATTTATGTAGTTTTTTATTACTATTTATATCTCAATCACACTTATCTTGCATGTATTGGCCTGATCTGGATTGTAAATCATTCTGTAAATCCAGATTACCTTGGTTTAAGTCATTGAGAGTCATACTACTGAAAACTGGCATGAAATCAGAATTAGGAACACAAGATTTTGGATCTGGGAAACTAATAGATCTGTCTCCGATATCTATAATTAGCTGGCAAACTGAGAGCATAATGCATACGGAATCATTATATGACATTGTCACACAAGATCAGTTCAGATCTGTAGAGGGACCAATCTCTCAGTTTCCTACTGAAGGCTGTTGTCAAATGAGTAACTCTCAGAAGAAATTGACTATTTTCCTAATGCTTCTCTCCTGGCAACTTCCAAGTGAAATGGAGATTTTACTGATAAAAAGAAAGGAGAGCCATTGAACTGAACAACAGTACAGGTTTTCACTGTCAGCATTCTGGTTCATTTCAACTTGCTGTCTTAAGTGAACTCAGTTTGGTAGCTCTGTTGTACTCAGTACTGTTGTATGAACATTAATTCAGCATGACTGGCAATCTCTGTGCAAGAGAAACAGCTTGCTGAATGGACTCTCTAGCATAGTGGTTTGCAGAAAGCTGGTTGATCACAAGATGCTGGTTCTCCTCTTTGTTTTTAGCTGTTATGCTGCATTAGTTTCCTTCCCCAAACTCCCCAGAAACCAGCAACAATGAGTAGCAATCCCACCCACTGTGAGCAGCCAAAACGTAATGTATGCACACAAGTATTAGCAAGGCAACCATCACGGAAAGAGCAGGAATAAAGAAGCTGAAAGACAGAAAAAGGGGTTAAACAAAACTTTCAGAACAGCCAAAAAAAAAAAGAGGGAGAACTGTGCCTCTTCTATCACATGTGCCCCTCTTCCTAATTGAAAACAATCTTAGATAATAACAATAGATCAGACCCTCAATTCATCTGATTCTTCCTAAAGTCTGTGCAAAATATATTGATTTATTTTGACCCTGGGGTGATTTTTAGAGTAAACTGAAATACAGAGAAACTCAGTACTTTTTAAATTAAAAACTAGCTTATTGACTGCATTTTAATTGCCAGTTTAGTGAAAAACTTTAGCTTCAAGTATATTTCAATCCCGCGAATGCTGTGGCATAACTTTCAATTTGCTACAAAATTTAATTCCAGCAAGTTGAGGAAAACATTCTAGGAATACACGGCTCCTGGCAATCAGGTTATCTGTATTTGTATCTGAACAACCAAACATCTTCAGATTTCAGCAGTGCACGTTTAGCACTATCATGAAATAGAGTGATTTCATGTACATCTTGAAGAATTAGATGTGTGCTTTAAATATTTTGAGTTGCTTGAATCTCACTCTCGAATTGAGACTGGGTGTTGTGAAGAAGATAACACAAAGTGTGTAGAGAGCTATACAAAATATTTGCATGAACATATGAACCTGCATTTACATTTTCATATTTAATTTGCATTTTGCAAAAATTATTTCAGTTTCACTGTAAATCTGTGAAATGTCGCTGCTGTTTGTTCAAGTCTGGACATTTGGGGGAACGTCACATTTAATCTGATGTATTTAAGTGAAAACCTCATTTTTCTGAAACCTTTAATTCCTGAAATGTCACAATGCTAAAGAGATCATTTTTCATATTGTAACACAATCTCAAAATTTGAGCCATAAAACTGCCTTTTCTCAAAAAAAGGAAATCAATAATGCATTGTTGGCATCAGCAAAGGTCCTACATTTTATAAACCAAATACTTCCTGTTTTTGCATAGAACTACTCTGGAACCTATCAGAACCAAAACCAGCAATGGCTCAGGCAAACACATGAAGACAAAACTGCTGAATTTCACATGACTTCTTCCTTAAGCTTCCATTGTACAGTCATCGAAAATGAAGAAAAGTGATCAGCGACAAAGAAACGGTTAACTTATTGCTGATATGGAAAAGTGTTATACAGATTTTTAGATAATTATGACCTTTACAATATGACTGTCAAATTCCAAATAAACAAAGAGAGAACTTCCTGTTTAGCCATTTCAGTCTTGCTTGATCTTTGCTCATGCTGAAGATGTTGACTGCACAAATTCAACAACATTCCTTAGAAAGTTGGAATTGTTTTCATCCATGAGTCATTTGTTATTCGCAGTCAATTATGTTGCAGGTCCTAAACACTCAATTTGAGCGGTTCTTAAATATACAAAAATGGGGCAGAAGGGAGGTCTTTTGACTATTTCTAAAGCAGAAATATTGAACGTCAAGATGAATTTCACTTGATCCCCAAGCCTGAAAAGAGATAAAAATACTTTTAATAAGACAGTACTTTAAGACATTATTATTAACTTTAAACCACTGGCTACTCTGCAAACACAAAATAGTTATAGATGAAGAAGATACCTTAATCTAAGATTTAAGGATAGTATTAAATTTACATTCTTTCCTGGTACAGTTTTCACTTCTCTACCCAAAGAATGAAGTATTTAATGATGGCTTATGACTGCAGAACAGCCCTTTGTAAACTACTTTACTAATTTAACCATGTGTCCATGTAACAGTAGCATTAGCAAACCCCAGTGAGCTACTCCCAAGCAGTAGAATGAACAGAGAGATATTCAAATAGTGTAATGGACTGCATGTGTGCCTGCCTTAACTAATCTCTATTTGTAAAGTTCAGAGATGTGAATGGCAATGATCTGGGAATGATGAACTAATCTCCCTGGAGACCCCCGCAGAAGGCTTTTTCCACTGTATTATTTTCATTAAGGATGTTGTACATTCCCACGCTGATGCCTTTTCTATTTATAAAACTTGTTTTCCACTCCATTGGCCTCTGCACACATTTTATCTTCTTTTCTCAGCTAATGCAAAGTAGGGCAATTGGTACAGTCTTGGACTATTGATATGGAACAGTTTGAAAGGGTCAGGATCAATATAGGAAGGAACAGGAAGTATGCTGACATCATCTTCTAGGCGTAACAAACCTTGCTGTGTTTTCCTGAGACAATGTTTTCTGCTGGAGTCCCCTGAAGGGCTCTTCCATGAAGAAAACAAAGTTCTGTGAATAACGTGCAACAGCCCTGTAGACAGTTAAGTGCATTAATAGGCAAATGCTCAAATATTTCCAGAATAGAAAAGTCTAAAAAAGATGTGAACTTTGTGGAAGGCAGCGTTGCCAGGTAGATAGAGCACCGAACTGGGACTCAGGGGACCTGCCTTCTATTCCTAGCTCTGCCACTGCCTTCCTGAGTGCCGTGGGGCTCAGTTTGCCTATCTGTAAAATTAAGATCTTTGAGATTTTCTGAAGAAAAGTGCTACATAAGAGATGAGTATTACTACAGGCCTCTTCCCCAAAGCACCCACTAAACATACTCCTTTTCCTCTTTCTACCTACTCTGGTCTACCTCCCTTGATATTTCTTTCCTTGCAAAGCTGCTCTGCCTTTCCTTTGCCAGGAGCCCAGCCTCTTTCAGGATCCCTGTACTACTTAATTCATGAGAAGGCAATGTACCCTTCTGAATATAGATCAGTTAGAACAGGGTGGCCAACCTGCAGCATGGATGCCACAAGCAACATGGGCAGCCTCTCTGTGTGGCGTGTGGCAGATTGGGGAGGCAGCACATTTGCAGGCAATAGGGCACATTTGCAATAGGGCAGGTTGCAGAAAGCAGAGCATCAGATCCTGCAGGGCAGGAAGCAGAAAGCTGATCAGCAGATCAGGTAAGGAAAAGGGATTGGAATGGCACTGGGGGAGGGTGCAGGGCTAATTTGTAGCATGTCTGCCAAAAAAGGTTGGCCCCCACTGAGCTAGGACACACTTCAAAGTTCAAAACATTAGTGGTGAAAAAGGAGAAGTGACTGAGAATAGGGACAGCAGGATCATATGACATGGGCATCTCTAAAAGTTAGGTGTGTATCTCATGGTTGAGGACAACTAAAATTACATCCCTGGCTGTTCTATTTAATAGCTATTAATACACCTATCATCCATGAATTAGTCTAGTTCCTTTTTGAACCTGGCTATTCTATCTGCCTCTAAAACTTCCTGTGGTAATGAGTTATCTATGCACTGCATAAAAAGTACTTTCTCTTGTTAGTTTTAAACCTGCCTCCAACTAAATTCATTGAGGGACCCCTAGTTCTAGTTCTGGGACTTGTGAATAAGAGTTCCCTATTCAATCTGTTCATACCCTTCATGGTTTTACAGACCTCTATCATATACTCCCTCAGCCTTCTACTTTCCAGACTACAGAGTCCTAGCTTTTTTTAGTTTCTCTTGGTATACTGCATACTCCTGATCATTTGGGATGCCCTTCTGTATACCTTTTCTAATTCTACTACATCCTTTTTGAGATGTGGAGACCAGAACTGCACACAGGACTGAAGAACTCTATTCAAGATGTAGGCCCTTGTAGTCAGAAAGTTCTTTCTAATCTCCAACCTAAATCTTTCTAATCTTCAACCTAAATTCTGCTGCAGCTTGAGGTCCTTGCGCCTCCTCCTGCCCCCTGCAGTCACAGAGAAAAGACTATTACCATCCTCTTTACAATCTCCCTTCAGGTTTTCAAGTGTTACCAAATGCCCCTGCAGTCTTCTTTTCACACTAAATAGTTCTGGTCTTTCTGTCTTTCCTCGTAAATCATGTTTCTGAGGCCCAAAACTAGACACATTACTCCAGGTGAGTTCTCACCAGTGCCAAACAGAGCAGAAGAATCATTTTCCTAAATATGCTAGAGAGACCCCTGTTAATACAGCCCAGTATACTGCTGGCTTTTTTTGGTAACAGGAGCACACTGGTGGCTCATATTCAGCTTATGGTCCACTGCAACCTCCAGGTCCTTTGCTGCAGTATTGTAGCCTGGCCAATCATTCCCCAGTCTGTATTTCTGCATACAATTATTCCATCCCAAGTGCAGGACTTTGCTCTTGTTCTTGTTGAATTTCAGCTGATTGATTTAGGACCATTTATCTGGTTTATCTAAGTCATTCTGAATCCTTCTGAATAGCCCTACCCTCCTGAATGTCTACAACTCCATCCAACTTGGTGTCACCTGCAAATTTGCTAAGTATGCACTCAATCCAATTAGCTACATAATTAATGAAGATGTTAAACAATACTAGATCTAGGACAGGCCCCTAGGGAGCCCAGCTTGATATCTTCTCCCAACTAGACATTGATTGATAGCTATTCAGTGAGCAAGATGATCCAACCAGTCATGCATCCACCTTACAATACTTTCATCTAGTCTCTAGCTCCTTATTGTATTAATGAGAATGTTGTGGGAGATAGAGTGAAAAGCCTTGCTAAAACCAAGTTACATCACAGCCACTGCTCTCCATCATCCACAGAGCCTGTCGCTTTAGCATAGAAGGAAATCATGTTGGTCAGGCATGACTAACTCTTCGTGAATCCATTCCTGATCACCTTGTTCTCATCTAGATACTTCACAATATATTCCTTGAGGACCTGCTCCATGATCTTTCTAGGCACAAGGTCAGGCTGACTGGTATGCAATTCTCTGGATTCCCCCTTCTTCCCTGTCTTGAAGATGGGCACTATATTTTCCCTTTTCCAATCATCTGAGACCTCACCTCACCTCCATGAGTTGTCAAAGACGATAGCCAACAGCTCTAAGACTACCTCATCCAATTCCTTTAGTATCCTAGGATGTATTCTTATATTCTTCCCTAGCAATGTGACCAAGTTTCCACTTTCTGTAGGATTCCTTTTTGAGTTTCAACTCACTGGAGAGATTGCTAGCCAGACTGGTATCAGGGTAAAATCCTTCCTTGACCTGGGTGAGAGGTGAACAGAGGTATCTCTCTTAGTGTTTGAAGGAGAGACTAGAGGAGGATCTTTTTATTGTACATGATGGAGAATAGCTTGCTCCAATCTTTTCTTTGTGATGCTCACCAGCAAAGGAAACACGATTTCCCTGTATTCCACATCATTTGTTCTCTCCTGACTGTCATAAGCCATCCTGTTGTTCAGGTGATACAATTCTCATATCCATCCACTGAGGGCAGAATCTGGCCCACCTTTTTATATCTGTACTTTTACACAGTTTCAGATGCACAGACCATCCTCTGTTTTGAAGAAATTTTTGTCATATATAGGGGGACTTAATAGCTGGTAGTGTGCATAAGAGCTAACCTTTAGTGAGCTCCATCCATAATGCTGGGAAATAGGTTGCAGGCTAATAAGCAGGTTAGAAAAGGGAGCAAGAGATTCATTGGCATGGAAGCCAGTTTTATGGCAAGTTGTTGAGCTTTTGTTATCTAAAGTTAATCTTTTTAGTATCTCACACAATGGATCAATCTTAGATCCTCTGGAAGCCAGGACCTCTGCCTTCAGTGTTAACTTCTTTTTCTGCAGGCTGGCTCCTGGATGAACCACCTACAAATTTAGCTTAATTATGTCTCCAGAAGAAGCTTGACAGCAGCCTTACTCAATTAAGACAAAAGGGACCTCAAAGCCTAAGTACCCAAAGTGTTTGCTTTGTATGAGAGCAAGGTGGCTGGTTTTTCAGCCTCTGTATGTTTACCTGACAGTGGCCTGATAAGCCAAGTGATACTAAAGCACCACTCTGTGATAATGCTAACACCATCTGCTAGGTGCTGATAGCTTGCTGGAGTAATGCGGTTATCAGCACTGGAGTGCTGATGGAAAGTTATTGCTTCAATAATCACTACTGCTTTCATCTATTCTCTAATTTGCTGCTGTCACTAAAAACTGTTATAAAGAACAAGATCCTTTTCTCTTTATTACGATGACATTCCAGGCCACCCCCAGGAACCACCCTTGTGTGTTTGGTGAATTCTGCCTACTGCCAATTTAAATTACTTACTCTGGCCCTGCCCGTGTATAAGTGCTTTCACCCTGACAAACACCAATAAAGGATTTACATTAGCCTTGATATCACACAGTATCTACTGATGGGAGGACCAGACAGAGTAGGACAGTTAGGCAAACTTAATGACATAAGGATGCCATAAGCTTTAGATAGATCCTTAGTTTGTGTCAACTGTTGGAGATACATTTAAATTGACAGGGCAGTGCTGACAGGGTCACTGTCAAATCCTCAGCAGCCTTACCTGGGGGCCTCCTGGGACTCCAGCAGTGGCAATCCAGGTGTGCAAAACCTTGCTGGCAGCTGGAGCGTGGGTCTACCTGGCCAGGCTCTGGTTTCAGGTGGTGCATGCTGCTGCCATGTGTGCCACCCTGCTTTTTTGTGGCACATGTTTTTTTCATACCAGGATCTCCCAGTGTCAAAAAACCCTGCCGTGCTGCAAATTAGCAGCGCGGCAAATGCTTGCATGTCTGGACTGCGTGGTTTACGGTGCTGCAAACCACATGTGCGCTCGTGGGGACATGGCCCTAGGGTTTACCTTTCTTTTGCAAGAGATTCTGTCTGGCTTTAAAGAAAGCCATGATGTCAGCATCTGCCTGGCTGTCTCCAGTGAGAGGGATAGATGATTTTGAACTCCGAGGCATCCTGAAATAAGCAAGCATATTCACAGATTCAGTTGAGTCAGCAGATTGTTTGTTTGTGTTTCCTTTTTTTTTTTTCCCCATATTTCCTTTTTTTTTTCACTTCAGAAAAGAGACTGATTTAGGGGCCTTGTCCTTTGGGTATGTTAGCAGAAACAAGCATAACCTGAAGCAGAATTAAACCCTTGGCATCTTAACTGCCTGATCTTTGTATTTTTAAAATAAATATGTATTCCTACACATATGACAAACTGTAGCTTAGCTATTAAAAACCACCCACAAAGAGTTACAAATATTTAATGCTGAAGCAGAGTTACTGTCAAATGGAAATGCACGTAAATTATACAAATAGGTTACAGAAGAAATGGTGGGTGTGACTGTACGATGTGATTCTACTCCAGATTAAATGCCACTATTTGAACTGGATAAATCTGCAGCACCCTTGCCTACTAGAAATCAACTGAGTATAAATATGCAGATAGAACTAGTCTATGTTCATTACATTTGCTGGCAGCCACTGCAACCAGGACAAGTCCTGGGATATGTAAATAGTGGCTTGCTGCAATAATCTTAAGCAGTCAAACTATCAATTTACATGATACATTCTTTGATAATATAGACCATTGTCACATTGGTCAGATCCTCAGCTACTATAAAATGATGTAGCATGTCATTTCAATTTACATCAGCTGGGGCCTGGCTCTATGTTTTCTTACCTATGTATGGATAAGTTAGTACATGGCTGGTGCCTATAATATATAGTAATAACCATACCAATCATCAAAAAAAATCATAATGATCAAAGCAGAGAAAGGAAATATAGAGAAATTCTGCTTACGTATATCCCATTTTTTTAAATACTTTTCTGATTGCTTTTTTGTTATACCTTCAGGTCCTAAATAACTGCTATGGCAGAATTTAATTCAGCTGATGTAAAACACGTCTGATGTGCATGTCTACATGGTGCCATTATTTTTAGTTGATAAATTGGTGGTCTGCAGATTTAGAACCAAGATGGAAATTGCACAGAAATGTATTCAATGAAACATTTTATTTCACTTAATTAGCTAGAATATTTTTAGAAAATAATACGAGACTTTCTCATGTGTCCTTCACATAGCTTAATATGGAGACATTTATTAAGGACTATGCAAAAACTGGGGACCCCCATGCATAGTCAGATATTTTTAATTAAGGAAACAGATGACAACACACTGTCACTATGATATGGAACCACTGTTGTTCAACATCTCATAGGTTCAGCCTCAAGCTATCAAGCAGTTATCTTCAAATTAATATTCAGTGCAGCATATTCCAGCTAATGTACATACAGATTAAGTTTCCTGTATGCACCACTGAATTTGAGCATTGAAAACAGAAAAGTAGATAAAAGCGGGGGCGTCAAATTTTAAAACTTTTTCTTTCCTTCTTTTTTCAGATAGGCAAACACAATTTTGAAACACTGAGATGTTGGGCTAAATGTTTCCATGCTTTTTCTGTGTCACAACATTGATTTTATTTAGAAAACTTGATAAAAATCTCCTCTGATATTTCTCAGTTGGGGGTGGTGGTAGAAAACGGAACCATGGGCTCATGTACACGCCATGATTTTTGCCTTTTCATGAGCTGCAACTGCGTGTCTGTTTGAATGAGCGGGATTTCCCGATGCTTTAAAAGTCTTTCTTGTGCATCAAACTAAAACTCCTTGGACATAGTTTAGTTTGGCTTGCCGGGAATTAAAGTGTCACATCCATGGATTCATTGGATGCAAACACAAAGGCATTCGAAGACGTGTAATGAGCCCCTTTGTCCACCAGATGGCACTATGACTTTTTTGTAGTTCACCCCTTCCAATTGCTTTTGCTTTAGAATTGCTTCCCCCTTTTTTTTTTAACACTTGCATGGTTTGCCAGCTCCCTGCTTCCACAACTATGTGGCAGGGCACGTGGTGGGTGGGGGGGCTCCAGGCTTGGGGGAGGAGCAGCACTTGACCATCCCACTCTCCTGTGGCACCAGCCAGGGACCCAGCTTAATTAGTCTGAATAAACCTAGTGCATGTAAACACAGATGCAACGCTCCAAAAACAAACAAGTTTAAATTTTATAAACCTATTTAATTTAATGAGGATTAAAACCTGAGGTATGTACAGGCACCCCACATGTCTTAGATTTATAGAGGAGGGATATAAAACTGTGAACCACATTTTTTGGATTTTTCTTAGAACCACATTTCATAAATGTGGCAACAGCAAAGTGTCTAAAGTGTTAATCCTGAAGTGCAGCAAGGATCTGTCTCCTGGAAGTTTACTGCCTTTAGGTGGGTAAGGAGGGAAAAAGGAACACGAAAACAGTTATAAATGATTGAAAAAAGCTCTGTAGCCTCTTCTAAAATGTTATGTGATCATAGTGAAGCCATGCCTCTTTGACTAGATTTTGCAAATACTCACTGACAATACAGAAAGGCACCAGGCTTCCTGCTTTCAGAAAGCTACTGGGATAATATGCAGGAGAGGGATTATGAATGTTTGAAGGAAATACACATAGTAAGATTCTACATAAAATTGACTTCACTATCAGGATAATGAAAAAAAACATAGGAATGAGAAATATTGTAGATCTCATTTTAAGGTCTTGGTATAGTACAATACTGTATGCATTCTGAGTCCTGGTTTGGTGGTGGCTGTGTGCTTTTTATTTTTAATAAAATGTCTTTCTTTTCTTATTGTGATAATATAGACATCACAATATGACCTTATAGCAATCTCCAGACAAACAGGAAGTGCATGGAAGGTGTAAGTTAACTGTGAATATAAATATGAGTGACTAGGGTAACATTTACGAATGAATATGGCTTGTAATTATGCACTTGGATTCCAAATTAGTAATCAATATATTTTTTTCTAAGGAGACACAGAAAGATGATAAGGGAACTTTAAGGATACTGATGAACTTGCTGGCCTACCTTCCCTTCTGAGTGAGAAAGACATAGACCTTACTTTATTTGTGAAGCCGAGTCACTCAGGTTGCTCATGCTGTTTTCTCCAGTACGGTATTCATTGGGATTGGCTCTCTTGCTTTCTGAGAACCTGGGGTAGAGAGGAAATGAAGGGGAAATTAAAGGTTTATGTAGGGGAAACCTCCAAATACATTCTGAATAACTTCAAAGAAACTGTTTTTTATAATTTACTTGTTTTAACCAGGAAAAAGAAAAAACCACCTCTTGCCTTCTTGAAGGGATCCAGGACTCTTCAGCCTGAGGAAAAGAAGTCTGAGAGGGGACCTGATAGCAGCTTACCGCTACACTAGGGGAGTACATCAAGGGCTCGGTGAGCAACTGTTCACTAGGGCACCTGAAGGGAAAACTAGGAGCAATGGCCACAAATTCTTGGAAGACCATTTCAGGCTCAACATTAGGAAAAACTTCTTCACAGTCAAGGTGTCCAGACTGTGGAATAAGCTCCCTCCAGAGGTGGTGCAATCTCCTGCCCTGGAAATCTTCAAGAGGAGACTGGACACTCACCTTGCTGGGGTCACCTGAACCCAGTTGTCTGCCCTGCCTACTGCAGGGGGGCTGGACCAAATGATCTTCCGAGGTCCCTTCCAGCCTTACAGTCTATGAATCTACGAATCTAAGGAGAATTTTCTATCCACATTATATGATAATAACTGCACCTGTACAGGTAAGATGGCTACTAAGGGGTAAAAAAACCCAAGGTGTTAAAAGAATCTGTCTATAGACACACCACATAAACTTCTATGCAGGAGTTTAATGTGTACTTGGGTATGTTTTAAAAATACAATTTGTGATTTTTTTTTGTTTATTTCCTAAGTCTAGGTTGAGTCAGGTACTGAGGACCTGGCTCACTTTCTACTAATTCTTTGTTTGGACAAAATTATTATTGAAATCAAGTGGAAATTGGATAAAAATGAGCAAAGTCCTAGACGGCTAGCTTACTGATGACAGTCCAATATATTGCAAACAGCTGTCGCACATTCAGCCCCTACAGGAAT